CGGCGCGGAGCCGGGCTGGGAAGGGGCAGCCTTGGCGCCGCTTCCTCCGCGGGGCCTTCCCTGCCTCGTCCTTCGCTTCCAGGGTCAGGCAGGGCTTGGGGACAGCGTCTCCAAGCGGGCCGATGAAAATAACTTGAGGTTTGGCAGAACCAGCGTCCTGAGCCCCCGGTCCAGGCGGGGGACGCGACGGCAGGTGTGTCTTCACCGCGCCGCCGCGCCGTCCGGCAAGGCCGGGAGGAGGAGATGGCAAACGAAACGGCCGCCAAGTAGGTTTGGCGGACTGAAATTTACGTGACTTTGACAGGACTTTTCCTCCCGTGTCGCTGAGACCCTTGCAGCCCTCCCCGTGATCATTTCCTGGGGTGGGAACTTCGGCGATCTCCTAAGACGCCTGCGGGCCAGGCGGTTGAGGTTTAGATCCGCGGAGGTAGAAGAGGTAATGGGGAGGAACGTTTCCAAAGTAAACTGGAGGATAAAGCAGCGTCAGACACCTGGACGCGAAGAGACGTGTACGTACCTGTGAAGGGCCGGGGCTGAACAAAGCGTGCGGTGCGCTTTCCGTGGAACCAGGAACCGGGAGGCTTTAAAAGTAGCGTGGCTGGTTGTGTGCAGGGACACCTGTGTGAGTGATCGCAGGATGAGGTGTACAGAGTGGCCCCGGTCTGCAGCGCCATTTAGAGACGTAATAGTGTCACCAAATACTAGCGTCTCGCAGGCAACAGCATCTTCGCTGAGAGTACACTTCCGGGTGCTCCCTTCAGTTTCTGTCCCAGCTCCCCTGTTTTTCTTAAATTACCAGATATCTGAATGATAGCAGTGACACATCACCTTTCTGATCTTCTCAATTACTGTGTCTAGTTGCTTCTCCATTCCAAGAAAAATCCCTCCGGAAACTACGCTCTTGGCTTGCAGTGGATGATTTTTTTTTTCCCCAGGGGAAAAAAAAAATAGTAAATAAACCATATTACTTTCCTAGTCCTGTAAGCTGACCAAACCCTCGAGTGCCACGCTAATAGGGAAAATTGAAAGAGAACTGCTACATCTGAGATATGAAGTGAAAAGCAGCGGCATTGCTTTTTTCTCTAGTATCTGGTCTGGTTTTGAGTTGTCTGTTCGCAGGATGTTATCTAGTGGCCAGCTGATTGTCACAGTGGCTGTTTATGGCTGTGAATCCTTGTGTTTTTGTAATCTATACACTGTGAGAACTGATCTGCGGTGTTTTTGTAATTTGTACACTTGGGGAAGCTCAGTAAAACATTAGTGGTAATGTATGGAGAAAGAAAGAACGCTAGTTTAATAACTTCTGTTAATGGCATTCCGATGCAAAACAAGTTGAAGTGTACTTTGGTTTCTTTGTTGTTGGTTTTTTTTTTTTGGTACCAGGAATGGAACTCAGGACCTTGTGCTTGCCAGGCAAATACTTACGCCACTGAGGTATATCCCCGACCCTGAAGTGTATTTTCTTTGTATAGGTGCACCTCAGTAAATTCTTGTTAATCTATTTTCAGTAATGCAGAGGTGTTACTAAGCCTGAGTTATAAATCTGAGTTTTAGAAACACCAGGGGCAATCTTAGTTACCAGTGCATCTGGAGCATAAATGTTGCAAAAGGTTAAATAATTCTTATTTAGGGTTGTGTTAAAGGAAGCTTTAAAATAGTAACAATTATCTAGTTTAAGAGAATGTTCCTGAGTTTTTGACCCTCTCTGCCCCTAATTCTATAGTTGATTTCCTCATCTTTGTTTTCAGAAGGGAAAGTACTGTGTTAAATCAACATGAAAATGTCTTCCTTTCATTTGTTATTCTCCAAATTTTCGTGAATATGTTCTACCTGCTGGATTATTGAATTTGTAAACCAAAGTAAAGATGGCAGGGAAATTTGGGATAAAGTTACTTGTATTCAATATATTCTGTATTGATTTAATAAGAAGTTAGTTTTCTTCGATAATCACCCCCTGGCCATTTCCTTAGTAGTAAAAACTTGCAACTGCATTTTAAAATACCAGTTACTGTCATGGCAGCCATATTTATTGCTATTTTATTATTTCATGAGCTTTTTCCATTATTTTTCCATGCCACTATTAGGTTGCACCTTAAAAATCTTCATTGGGCAAACCTGAAATAGATGCAGAAGTTACTCTGAGCAGTATACATGCCTTTTTAGGTATTATGTATCAGTGCATATTTCCATGTGGCTATGATCATGTTGTATACCCAATTCCTAACTTCCTGTGTGGCCTTCTAAGTGTTTTATGCATATAAAAGACTCCTGCCCCCCATTCTTTTTGTAGCTGTTGGAAGCATATGATACCTACTGTTACACACCTTGGTCTTCTCATTTAGTAACCTAACTTGGCAGTCTTTCCAGAGCAGCGCATAGAGATCTGTCTTGTGCTTTCCATTAGCCCCATTGTGATCCGTTATTCCATAGTTTGGTTAAGCAGCACCTCCTGGTGTTGATGACTTAGTTTTCTAGCCTTTGCTATTATAAATATATATCTACAACCAGACATCGTATTTTTTGTTTTCACTTAAAATATACATTTCCTGAAGTTATTGAGTTTTAATGTTTGCTTTACATAAATGTTGGTCTTTATTTTAGCAAATTGCTACCTTATTTTCTGATTCATTAGAAACACTTGATTGGATAAATTCCAAAAGTACAAGAATCCAAATTACCTGTAATTCCACTACCTAAAGGTAGTACTATTGATCCTTTGCATAATCTTTTCTTTATCCTGTGCCTAACATTGCCCCTTTGTGAAGCCATACTCCACAAAGATGTTGAGGACATACTCAGCTGTAGTGCGATTAAAAGTTCTGTTACCATGGAACCTAAAGATCCAACAGCTTTATTTATTTAAATAAATCAGGGCCTAACCACTGGTTAGAGTACTGTACATTGAGTGAAAATTTTGTTTCAAATCTTGCATGTATGTACATTTGAGTGCCTGAGAAATAAAAGCTGAAAGATAATAAACTAGGATATAAAAGAGATTATTGGTGGAAGGTGATAGTTTTTATGCTCCTTTTAAACTTTAATATACTTTCTAGAATTTCTTTAACGATCATGAAATACTTGGATAGTCACAAAAAGTTTAGTTGTAAAATGTCATCTTTAAAAAAGTAGCTTCGTACTGGAAGAGTGAGTTTAAGGCCAGCTTAACCTACATAGCAAGACCCGGTCACCAAAAAAATGACATATTTCAGCCTCCCTTATACATTGGGTCAGATTACATGTTTACCGTAACTGCCACTTTTCTTTAGATCCAGAAATTCTAGTACAAGGCAGGAAAAGTGTTCACCTCTTAAAGTTATCTCGACAGTACTTAGAATACAAGTAGTTCTAATACAAAATTCTTGCTTAGACTTGTCAGTTCTCTAATGAGCCCGCCAAAGCCATTCCCCCAGCGCCTCCATCTTGTGCTGGGATCAAACCTGGGGCCTCACACATGCTAGGCAAGTCCTATGCCACTGAGCTGAATCCCCAGTCCAAGGCCATTTTCAAAATTACGACAGTCCTCATGAATGTCCGCTCTAGGACCTGCTTCTACAATAAAATAGTTAAAATCTGTTCTAAACTTAATCTTTGACATGAGTACATTCTGGAGCCGGCATTCACAGCAGTGTGGGGATGTGGGAACCATCATGTTCACTCTTAAAAATTTCCTCCAGGAAAAATTTGAAGTTGATGGATTTTTTTTGAGATAGGGTCTTGGTAGTTCAGGGTGGTCTTGAACTCACTGTGTAGCCAAGGCTGGCCTCTAGTCTTCCTACCCTTCCTACCTCAGCCTCCAAGTGCTGGGATTACAGATGTGTGCCACTACCCCCAGCTTAGGTGATGGATATTTTGAGAGAGGGTCATTGAGATGTAGTGTATCTCCAGTGTAATAAGAGGCTGTTAGCCCCTGAGCCATTCCTGTAGCATTTAGGAACCTGGGCAGCATTCAAAAAATTAAGTGGCTATAAGTAGAATTATTTGTATAGAAAATAAAACATCACTAGACCATCTAGGGTCAGATGGAACTGCTCCTTTTTAAATGGTGCCTCACTCATTTTCATGAAATCCTACTGCAATGAGATGTTAATTTAATATTTATTTTGAAAAACGAATTCTTAATATTTGGTAGTCATAATTTTTTCTTCTAAATATAGCATTTCTCATGTGCCCCCTTTTAAAAAACATAAAAATCTCACTATAGCTCCCTCCCTTCTGACCCATTATGAAAATAATATGTAAAAGGGAAACAGTTGGGTTATATTCTCCAAATATAAAGTTATAATCAGAAAAGCATTATAAACAAACACCACCTAAAGATTCTGCCCTGACCCCCCCAATTGAGCTCTTCAATAAAATAAATTGCTTTCAAATGTAAAACTCAGAATATTTCAGTTTATTAAAACCATGAAATACAATAGATGTGAACTTCAGGATACTTTTAGAGATTATAAGTATCACTGAACTTAAAATTTCCTCTGTATTGATAGGGTATGAATAAATGAAGGTCACATTGCTTATATACACTTTTATTTGATAGAGTGCATTTTAATGCCTGGACTATTGTGATTAATTATGGTTTTAATAAGCAGCAGAGTGCACAGTACTGATTCTGCCAGCTTCTGGGCCCAACACTAACAGGGCTTTTAAGTAACTTTAAGTTTTCCTCTGAAATGTTTGTAAGAATTGAGCATAGAGTAACCACAGACATCAAGAAATTTATTTGATTGCCTTTAGTATTCTACTGAAATGATGATTATTTTAATTGATTCACTAATAAAAATTATTAGAAGTTTA